GGACTCCGGCATATGTAAGCTCAATTTTCTTTAGTCTTATTTTTTTCCCCCAGTTTTGAAGCTTGAATGAGAAAAGAAGATCTTGAAATTAGTGGTCATGAAATAAAAAGTTTAGTATTGTACACTAAAGATACATTAGGATTTAGGGGTACACTCAAAAAAATATAGGATACACTTTATATAAAAAATTTATACAATGTAATAGTGTATATACAAATCCATCTCTTTTTTTTTTGCTCCCCAAAAATAACCCAAAGACTGAAAAAATTCTCGTAGTTAAAATTGTATAATCAGTGTATACTGCATAAAAACTCAAAGTGTACAGATACATAGATATTACATAAAAGATACACTAAATATACATTTATTGTACATGATATACACAAATTATACATCTCATATAGCAATAACCACCTCCACAAATACACTTCACCTTTTACTTCTTCTCAGGAAATGCACATAAATTCATCCAAAAGAATCATGAAGCTCAACCTCCAAACGGCTCACAAAGCACCGNACCTTTACCCCATTTTTGGTCCCCAAAATGGGAATTTTCCCATTTTGGGGACAACTTACTCCAAGCATTCCCCCATTTTTGCCCCAAACTTTTTTATATTTTTCTCTCTCTTCTATATTAATTTATTATCTCTTATTTCAATTTCATTTTTTAACTTTCATTAAATAAATTTCATATTTATTTTTATTAATTTGTAATTTTCATAATTAAAACAATTCCATAAAATTTTAAATAATGGTTGAGGCGATGAATAATGCAATCCAGGCAAAAAAAGAAGTTCTGACTGTTCAAAAGGAAAAAGTAAGAGTAAAAGAAATGAAAGAAGAAAATAAAATTTTAATGATGGATGTGGATTCTATTGTCGATCCGACTCATCGTGAATTTATGCGACAAGAACAACAACGAATAATGTATAAAAGAAGTCAAGAATATTCACAGTCACAACCACAACAATCCTCAACCCCATTCAGTCAATACTATAATGATTTTGGTGTATCTGGAAACGACATAGCTCCCTACTAAGTTATTATGCTATTTACCGTAGTTTTAATTTTTATGTATTTTAATTTAATGTATTTTCAGTTGTCTTGTATTTCCAATTTTAATGTATTTTCAATCTTCACTTTTCAATTTTAGCAACATTTAATATTTTATATTCGCACCTTTCAATTTTAGCAACATCTAATATTTTATATTTGCACCGTTCATTTTTTGAGATAATTATATATTTTTTGTATAATTATAACTTATAATAAAATTAACTTATAATTTTACATAAAAATAATAAATGCACGAAAATTAATTTATCAAAATTATACACCAAGTTAAGATATAAAATTAATATTATAAAGACATTACATAAACATAATTAGGTATATATAAAGAGATAAATTAAAAGATTAAATAATAAAATAAAAAAAATGATGAATAGTAATGTGGGAGATGAATAGTGTAACCCCATATTTGAGGGAACACTATTCATCCTCCATTTTGGGACAAAAATGGGGGAGGGTTGGAGCTAAATTACCCCAAAAATTGCCCCCATTATGGGGGATGGGGGCAAGGTTGGAGATGGCCTTATATAAACATTTGTAAGGTAGCTGCAAAAAATTCGGAGCCGAAAAGGAAAGCAAAAGGGAAGGTCACTGGAGTCTTTATCCGATCGTAGCCATGGCCGATAGATATCACTAACCAAGTATTTGCTATAATTCCTTACAGATCTAGAATTGCATGACTTTTATAGAAGAGGAAGGAAGCAACACGGAAGATAATAAAATTATCATTGGTTAGAGGTAGTGGTGGAGATGTTTTAGGCAAAGAAAAATTATTTCTATAAATTTCCGATTCGCAATGGATGGTTGTTGGTCTCGATTTGATTTTGGGGTTGAGATTTGAGAATGTTTTGAGAGGGAGATGAAGATTTACTTATGGAAATATGGTGAATCGGTGGTAGTGAGATCAATGTAGAGATAAGTTGGAGTGGTGGTGTAAGGAAGGCGGTGGAGATAAGCTGGATTGGTGGTGATTATATCGATGATGGAAGTGGGAGGAGAATAACAAACAACTGGAGGAGTAGGAAATACAAATGAATTGGGAAGAGAAGTGCATTGGGAATTGTGGCTACAACTTTCAAAAGAATTGGGCCTAAAGGCTATTTCGGGGGCATTTGCATCTATACCTGCTTTTTGGGTCACGTTTTAACTTGTACCCGTTTTGTAAAAAAATTGTAAGTGTACCCACTTTTTCGCGTAACTTCAGCATACGGGGCTGAAGTAGCAAAGGCAATCACGCAAAACTTCAGCATTCTAGTAGACAAGCCTGAAGTAGTAAAGGCAATACGTTGGAGTTTTTTTGTCCTGGATAAGGTTTTTCAAAAATTTCAGCAAAAGATGCTGAAGTTATTTAGTTCATTTGTAAAAATTTCAACACTAAATAAGCTAAAGTTTTTTTGTCCTTGATTCATTTGTTTTGTCATAAAGCTTTTTTAAAAACTTCAGCAGAAGATGCTGAAGTTATTTAGTTCATTTGTAAAAACTTCAACACTAAATAAGTTGAAGTTTTTTTGTCCTGGATAAGCTTTTTCAAAAACTTCAACAGAAGATGCTGAAGTTATTTAGTTCATTTGTAAAAACTTCAACACTAAATAAGTTGAAGTTTTTTTGTCCTGGATAAGCTTTTTCAAAAACTTCAACAGAAGATGCTGAAGTTATTTAGTTCATTTGTAAAAACTTCAGCACTAAAAAAACTGAAGTTTTTTTGTCTTAGATAAGTTTTTTCAAAAACTTCAGCAGAAGATGCTGAAGTTATTTAGTTCATTTGTAAAACCTTTAGCACTATATAAGCTGAAGTTTTTGAAAAAACTTTCTAAATGTTACTATAGTACAGATGGAAGGACAAACAAAGCAGGAGGCTTACACGACGCTCTACCAACTGAAGTGGGATTTTGTGGCTCTTACTTTTGTTTCTCCACATTCCCATCTTATTCTGAATGTTACTATAGTACAGAGACAGATTGGTTGTTTTGCAGTGCAAAAGATACTATTCACAACACTCTCACTGTTCTGCTTCCTATTTCCCCACTTCTCTTTGAACTCTTCCCTTTGCATATCCATACGAAAAATATATAAAGACCACTCACCTTCCCATTCTTATATGTATAGTAATAATACACCTTTCAATAGTCTAAGTCGGTTCTTGAATTGATAGAGAAAGATAGGTTTAAAAAAAGATTGTGTTTTCATTATATTTTCTTGAGTTTAGAGTTGTGGGAAATCGATAAGACCGTGATCCGATGATGAAGATCTATGCCTTTGTGCTTGATGCTACTGCTGCGTGGTTTTGAAGGAAACAGAAGAAAGAAGAAGAAGAGGAAGAAGAAGAAGAAGAGGAAGAAGAAGAAGAAGAAGAAGAAGAAGAAGAAGAAGAAGAAGAAGAAAACGAAGGAGGAGAAAGAGGGTTGAGGTTGTTTAAAATGTGGTTACACGTTAAAACTTTTAAAAAAAATGGGTATAGGGCGCCCCGTGCAATTTTTCGCATTTTAGGTCAAAGATGAAAATATGGTCTATTAAAATATTTGGACGACCATACAACGTCATTTACTCGATCCTTTTTGGGCGAACGGCACAAATAGCCACTAAAAGCTGTGGCTTTTATTTTAAAGCCACTGTTTTCAATGTATTTAGACTTTAGCCACTCCTTTTAAAAAACTTATACCTGACTGGACGAGAATACCCTTCTGGTATAACTTATACCTACGTTATCAACACAAGCAGCAGTTACACAAAGAGAAGAAGCGAGCAACAGCAGCAGTTACCACAGCGGCGATCAACTGAGGACGAACCACCATTTCTCTTCCCGATTTCAAAAATTTAGCAATCTAATCCAAAAAAACGACATAGATAAACAGTAAGTTGTAATTTCATGTGTTTCTATCAATTTTTATTTCGCTATAGTTATACTTTTTAGATCTATATTGATTTGATTATATATTAGATAAGAATTTGATTTTTTTTTAATTTCTGGATTGATAAATTTATAGACACCGCCTCCTATGATAATTCTGTATTCCGGACTTAGTGTCTTCATTTTGGAAATTGAATTCAAAAAAATAAGAACACTATGTCCTTAACTTTGATTCTACTGGCCTCATTTTGCAAATTGAATAAAAAAACTTAAGGACAAATGTCCTTCACTTTGCTGTTGTTCTTCTGTATACAAAGTCCTGTAGCTTGAGTTTCAAATTGTATGTTTTAATTTCTGGTTCAAATGTTAAGGACTGACAGTCCTTAACTCTTAAATACATGTTTAAATGTTAAGGACTAGCAGTCCTTAACTTTTAATTCCATGTTTAAAACTTAAGGACTGGCAGTCCTTAACATTTAATTCCATGTTTAAATGTTAAGGACTGGCAGTTCTTAACTTTAATTACATGTTTAAATGTTAAAGGACTGGCAGTTCTTAACTTTAATTACATGTTTAAATGTTAAGGACAGACAGTCCTTATCTTGGTCTTGCACTTACAGTACACCTGTTCTTAATTCTACAAGGATTTCTTTATAACGTATGCCCTTTGTTTCCCATTCTCTTGACTTGTAGGATGGAAACAATATGCATAATAGTTGCTTTANCCCGAAGAAAATTATGAATTATTGTGTTCATACTTGTATATGATGACAAGTAAAAACCCGGGAACTTATACTAACATAAAGATAGACGACAACAACAGGTAAACAATTTAGGACATGCTGTCTTTAGCCTTGTTAACTTTTGAGTTATAACCAGAAGTTGAGGACTGCCTATCCTTAAGTTTTGAACTTGTAATTAAAAGTTAAGGACTTCCAGTCCTTAAGTTTTGAACTTTGAAATAAAAGTTAAGGACAACATGTCCTTAACTTTATAACTTGTAAATGTAAGTTAAGGACTGACTGTCCTAAACTTCGGGTATTTTAACCTTGTTTTATATTGTATTTTCACGTTTCTTTATATGTTTTACGCATATGGATCATCGATAGCTGGTTGGAATCATTGTAGACCAGTGATTGCTATTGATGCGACTTTTTTGAAGTCAAAATATCGTGGTGTTTTAATGATTTCAGTTTCAAAAGATGCAAATAACCAAATTTTCCCATTAGCCTTTGGAATAGCAGAATCTGAAAACAACAATTCCTATGAGTGGTACTTTAGTCAGCTTCGCAATGCAATTGGGAGCCGTGAGAATTTGATTTTTTTATCAGACAGGCATCAAGCTATTGCAAATGGCATTGTAAAGGTATATCCTGAAAGCCATCATGGGATTTGCATCTATCATTTGGAGCAGAACCTAAAGCGAAGAAAGGTGAAAAGTGAGGTCATAAAACTTTTCCAAAGTGCTGCAAGAGTATACAAGCGTAAAGAATTTGACATATACATGTCAGATATTGCAAATGTAGATAAGAAAACTTATGACTACTTGATGGAAGAACCACCGGAAAGATGGGCACGTTCTTGTAGTCCACAACGAAGATATGACATGCTCACAACAAACATAGCTGAGTCGATGAATTCAGTGCTATTAGAAGCAAGGGAGCTGCCTATACTAAGAATGATGGATTTCATTCAAGTGAAGCTACAACATTGGTTTTATGAAAGAAGAAATAAAGCAGAAGGAACATTTTATGATGTTTCTTGTTGGGTAGAGGAGGAATTGAAGAACAGAATAGATTTAGCATTTACTTTGAACGTAAGTATTATGTTTTATGTTTATATTATGATTTTGACATTTTTTAACATAATGTACTCACTTATAATTTTTCAACATTGAAGGTCTTCCCTGTTGATTCATGGCGTTCTAGAGTTGAAGAAGAAGGAATAACTTTCTTGGTGGACTTAAACAAAAGAACATGTGATTGTTTTCAATTTCAACTTGATGAATTACCATGCATACATGCAATTGCAGCTATCGAGAAGAGAAACATCAAGAAGTCTGACTTTTGTTCGCACTGGTACTTAAAGGAATCTTGGCTGAAAACATATGAAAGACAAATACATCCTGTAGGACATACTGATTCATGGATTGTACCAGAGAGTGTTAAGTCACAAATTGTTAAACCTCCAGATTTCAAAGTGCCACCAGGTAGAAGGCAAAAGAAAAGGCATATTCCTGCTACCGAGCCATCAAAAATAACATTCAAATGTGGTCGTTGCAGAAGAATTGGTCATAATAGAACAGCTTGTATATATTCTTCGGCACTCCATCCATTTTCAAGAAAGCATAGAGAAGAGTAGAAATATACACTTATGTGTATCGACTCTTTTAAGTTTTTGCTATAGATTGTATTCATTATTATTCTAATTTGAGTGGATGCCTAGATTTTCAATATTTATATCTTGTTACATTCTTTTAATTTCTTTTGAGTTCAACAATTAAAAGTTATTAACAGGAGTCAGTAAGTTCAACT